TGCAATCTGTATACGGGGTAAAAATGGGAGTTCATAACCCACTTGAATCTAATGTATGAAATATGATATGTCAAGAGCTTTGTAATGTTTTGAACAACCAATAAGAAAGAAGAAAAAAAAAAAATCCCAAGACCACTGACCAAGAACAGTAATCCTCAGTAGCAAACTCAAGCYATGTGCCTTGAATGCTTGCTACGTGTAGTCTAAATTCTGAGCCACTTGAACAGCTCRTATTAGTCACTGTGGCATGAAAACATGTGCCCAGGCGGTGGTGGCTCAGCACAGCAGACATCCGTTTCCTACTCACGTGACCGTCCGTGGCTGTCGCCCCAGGCAGGTGGGTGGCCTGGGTCCAGGCTCCTGCTGTTCTCTGGCTCTGCCAGCCCTGGGGTCCCATAGTCTGCATATCCAGTAGGCAGGAGGGGAACAGACTGGGCACGGAGCTTCCTAGAAGCCTTGGCCCAGGGAGCACTTCTCGTCCACTCCYGTTCCAGCGCGTCTCCTGGCCTGACCTAGATGCAGGGTCTGTGCTACGAACAGCAGCTTCCCAAGAAGCTCAGCACTGGCCTGAATCTAGAAGGTCCTCAGCAAGGGCGTGTGGATGGATTATGACCAGGGAACTCTGAGGGAAGGGGCCRGGCAGATGCTGTCACAGCGGAGAGCAGTAAGGTGTGGACAGCAGAGGACTGAGCCCACAGGGTCCCCAGAGTACTCAGCTCCACTGGAGGCAGGGGCTTGGGTCTGCCCAGCCCGGTCCTGCCCTCTGCTGAGTCCTGGCCAGGCTTGCTCGGTGTCCACTCACTCCAGCATCAGGGCACTGAGCGTTCTTGAGCACTGACTTTAGCCCACACGCTGCCCCAGCTGGCCGGCATCCGTCACCCGAGACTGCAYGAGAGCCTTGCAAATCAGGGGCAACCACTCCTTTTACAAGGAGGATGCTGAAGTCCAGAGAGGTTGCAAGGCTCCCCTAGCATGGAACAGCTAGTATGCGTTGAACTTGGGATTTGAACCCAGATCTTTAAAATCTTGTTCCTTTCATTCCACTACAAAGCATAAGAACTTGAATCCAGGCACTGCCCTGAGCTTTCCTTCATATGTTCACATCTGTTCCTCTCTTAATCTGTTGTGTGTTGCACTTTTTGTTTGTTTTTAAGTGTTAGTGATTATTTTTTTATTTGTTAACTAGTTATCCATGAAAGTAGAATGCATTTTGACACATCATACATAAATGGAGTATTACTTCTCATGACGTAGAGTCACACCAGTCATGTAATCATGTATGCGTAGAGGGCAATAATGTCTGATTCTTCCTACTTCATTCCTACTTCCAAACCCCCTCTCTTCCCTCCACTCCCCTCTGCCTATTCCAAAGTACCTCTATTCTTCCCTATCCCCTCTCCTTTATTGAGAACTAGTATCCACATATGAGAGAAAACATTCAGCCTTTGCTTCTTTAGGATTGGCTTATTTCACTTAGCATGATATTCTCCAGCTCCATCCATTTACTGGATAGTGTCATAATTTCATTCTTCTTTAAGACTGAGTAATATTTCATTGTGAATGTATACACCACATTTTCTTTATCCATTCCTCTTTTGAAGGGCACTTAGGTTGGTTCCATAGTTTAACTATCATGAGTTGACCTGCTATAAACATTGACATGGCTGTGTCACTGTGGTAAAGCATACAAAGTAAACTCAAGAATCAATAAATGGGATGGATTTAAACTAAAAAGCTTCTTCTCAGCCAAGGAAGCAATCAATAACATGAAGAGAGAGCCTACAGAATGGGAGAAAATCTTTACCACCTGTACCTCAGATAAAGCATTAATCTCCAAGATATATAAAGATCTCAAAAAACTTAACACCAAAAGATGATAATAACCCAATCAATAAATGAGCTAAAGAACTAACAGACACTTCACAGAAAAAGAAATACAATTGATAAAAAAAATATATGAAAAAACGTTCAACATCTCTAGCAACTAGAACAGTGCAAATCAAAACTAGTCTAAGATTTCATCTCACTCCAGTCAGAATGGCAATTATCAAGAATAAAAGCAACAATAAATATTGGTGAGGATGTGGGGGAAAAGGTTCACTCATACATTGCTGATGGTACTGAAAATCGATTCTTTTTAATAAGCATTTGTTGATTCTTGATTTTACCTCTTGTGCTTTAGGAGTCTTGTTAGGGAAGTCAGTTCCTAAGCTGACATGGTGGAGATTTGGACCTACTTTTTCTTCTATTAGGCACAGGGTCTCTGTTCTAGTGCCTAAGTCCTTGATTCACTATGAGTTGAGTTTTGTGTGGGGTGAGAGACAGAGGTTTAATTTCTTTTTGCTACCTATGGATTTCCAGTTTTCCCAGCACCATTTGTTGAAGAGGCTATCTTTTCTCCATTGTATGTTTTTGGAACCTTTGTCTAGTAGGAGATAACTGTATTTATGTGGATGTGTCTTCTATTCTCTATCATTGATCTATCTGTCTGTTTGGCACCAATACCAGGCCATTTTTGATACTATGGCTCTATAGTATAAAGTCTGGTACTGTGATGTTTCCTGCTTCACTTCTCTTGCTAAGGATGG